TGCATCCGGCAGGTCGATCGCAGACTGCACGCAGATGAAGCGGCGCGCGGGCGGCGGCGGCGGCGGCGGAGGCGGCAGCGGCGGCAGCGGCGGCGGCGGGTTGGCAGCGACGGACACGGTGAGCAGCGAGGGCTTGCCGGTGGAGTCCAATGGCACCTTGCCGTCGATCTCGAGCTCGAGGTCAAAGGTGCCTTCGACGTCGGCGAGGCGGAAGCCAGACGAGCCGAGATAGTCGCCGTACCACTTGACGTTCTCCGCATCAAACACAGAGAACCAAAAGTAGCCGTCCGCCTGAGACTCGCTCACCTGGCAGCAGGCGGGCTCCGAGTACTGTCCGTTCTGCTTGACCCTTTTCCAGAGCGGATTCTGCTTGTTTGGAATGTACTCGCTGTGGCACAGCTCTTCTCCGTCCACCTCGACCTTCACCCATGGGTCGGGCGCCGGGTCTTTGGGAAGCTGGTCGGTGTACGGCAGATTTTTGGCACCGATCACACAGACCTCGCGCCACGCAGCGGCCGGAACCAGCGCCAGGCCGAACGCCAGAACGGCGGCTCGACCACGCATGCACGGGATACGCCGCCTCGTTTCGTGCAAAGAGTGCCTCGATGGACTTACACGACCTTAGTGATGATGCGATCCGCTTTTGCGTGTTTTTCTTTTTTTCAAAGAAAGGGGGAAAAGGGAGAAGAGAGAACGACGAGAGTGCACTTTGAATGCCGTGGGGCTCCTGCCTGGGTACTGCCCGTGTGAGAGAGAGAGATTTTCAATACCAAACAACTCTAACACTCACGTTTTTGTTGCCCATGTGTCCGGGTGAGCGGGTGTGGAGATGATGGTTGATGCGGACGGGAAGAGACGTAGAGCACGCCCGGGAGCCCCGAGGTGGGCGACGGGGCTAGCACCACACGACACTCCTCTCCTTAAAATCACTGTGTCGTGTGTGGGGGTCACGGCGAGGCCATCGGCGAGGCCGTCGCTGAGCCGAGCGACGGCGAGAGAGCCGTCGGCAAGTCGAGCGACGGCGAGAGAGCCGACAGCGGAGTCGGCGAAGCGGCCGATGGTTGTGTCGGCGAAGCAGCCGACGGCGAGGCCATCGGCGAGGCCGTCGCTGAGCCGAGCGACGGCGAGAGAGCCGTCGGCAAGTCGAGCGACGGCGAGAGAGCCGACAGCGGAGTCGGCGAAGCGGCCGATGGTTGTGTCGGCGAAGCAGCCGACGGCGAGGCCATCGGCGAGGCCGTCGCTGAGCCGAGCGACGGCGAGAGAGCCGTCGGCAAGTCGAGCGACGGCGAGAGAGCCGACAGCGGAGTCGGCGAAGCGGCCGATGGTTGTGTCGGCGAAGCAGCCGACGGCGAGGCCATCGGCGAGGCCGTCGCTGAGCCGAGCGACGGCGAGAGAGCCGTCGGCAAGTCGAGCGACGGCGAGAGAGCCGACAGCGG